GCTTTATCTTTCTCAAGATGCTAACTCGTTGATGCCTAATGAAAAATACCATATGTCCTATCTTCTCTTGGGCAAGAGATCAATGAATTGTGTGTTTTAATATTTAAGAGGTCTTATGCAATATATTATTATTCATTAGGCACCCACGAAAAAGCATTATGAGAAAGATAGAGACTGATCAACATAACCATATTATTCGTTTTATTTTTTGTGTGTTTTTACACCTCTCGCCCAACTAGTTCGCCCTAGCCGCCGTCAAGTTTTTTTGCCGCGATCTGACCTCTCCGGCTTCCGGCGTTTATCGCTGGAGTCGTGAGAGGGTCGTCCTTTGTGTGTTTCCTTTTTCCTCTTAGGATCCGAGTCAACCTCAGCCTTTCCTCGGCGTTTCTTGTTTCGAAGGTTTCGGAGCGGCTCAAGATATGTATCTTTCCAGTTCCGGTAAGATCTCCCCTGAGTATTGTCTCCTTTTGGCTTGTGATGGTGCTTCGCGTTTTGGTCTTCTCTCGTCGGTGGCTTCTTTGATCGGAATCTCAGATCTGGGTTATTTGGACCTTTGTCATTCGATGTTGGTAGTCCAATTGCTCGTTACTACTGCGGCCGAGATGTTTGTGCTACCTCCTCTCCAGCAACATCTGACCTTCGTTCTTTTCCGTCGATGGGTTTGTTGATGCTGGTCTCCTGTTTTTATTTCAAGGTTGTTGTAGTTGTTGGTTCTGTCTTTGGGATAGTTTGGGTCATGGTTTTGTTCTCTGTTCTCTCATGAAAGCTCCGGGGATTGGTCGTGTTGGCTAGGTTTTGGATAGCTTTCGTTTTATCCCATCTTTGTTCGTTGAATCTTTTAAGTTTGTCTCCTTCCACCGCCTCTAGCTTAGACTAATAAATAGGTTTTCTCTCGTGGTCTGTTCGTTGTCTGTTCTTGTAAGGCTAACCTTTCGTGGGATGCAAAGTTCTAGACTTAGGCTTGTTCGGTAGAAGACTAGGTGGTTAGGATTTAGATTCGCGGTCGTTGCTTATTATGTTCGGGATATTCGTTTTTAGTTGGGTTATTTATTCGCGGTTTCCTCTATCTTTGGTTCTACTCCGTTTGCGGTTGTAGTTCTTCTTATATGCGACTTTTGAGCTCTTAGTTCCGCGACTAGTGCTCTCCTCTGACTTTCCCAGTAATTTCGAGAGCTTGACCTTTTGACTTTTGTATTCTATTTTGTGTTTCCCGTGTATCGGGCTTTAGCTTCCGGAGATTTCTTTGTTTTCCGCCGGCTTTTGTATTTCAAAAACGCATTCCAAAAACGTATTCCTCCCTTGTATCCCACCTTTGTATTATATAATGAAAAATCTTTCAGTGAAAAAAAAAAAAAAAATTGTGTGTTTTTACTTTTTAGTGTTCTTTTTTACTTGAATTTAAAACACAAACATTAATTATATGGAACTTTATAAAAACTTTAAACATTTATATCAAGAGTAGCCTGTATTTAACGTTGTATATGGAACTTTATCTATGATAACTTAATTTATAAAATATGAACCACAGCTTTTTAATCACGGGAAGTATCGACTGAACCACAACTTGTTCATATATCACTACCAAATTCTAGAAGTGTTGTCGTGTGTTGATTGAAAAGTGTATTTGAAATTCGTTTTCGAAAAAGTGTTTATGAAATTGCACGAGCTTTGATTAAAATAACTGTTTCTTTTGGTCAATAGTTCTCACTTAACGCAAGAAGAACAAATACTAGTTGTCTTCACGTGATCTTCCGACAGATTCAAAGTTTTAATTAGTTGGGACATCCCCAACTGTAAATATCCTTTTCTCCCTCATCATCGTTTCTTCTTCGGTACACGTGGCAGCCACGTGAACCACTCGATAGCCACGTGATCATCGCCATTTGGTCTGCAAATTAAGCCCAATATAATCCATCAAGGCCCATATAAAGTCAGCATATATTGATCTAAGCTTTTGAAATTCCGATCCATTAAATCTAACCGGTTAGATTTGTTTATTTTCCGGTTTATGTTTATTCCATAAACCCTGAGGCCTGAGCTGCTATATCCTTTTACCGGCGGCGGAACTCGATTATGCATTTTTCTCTCTCTCTCTCTCACTCTCTTGTTGTCTGAGACTCGCCGGAAAAGCTTGTTTATTTGGTTTCTCTTAAATTTCCGGCTAAATTTCTATCGGAAGTAAGAAACTCACGTGAGCTATGAAGTTCCTCATTCAATCCATTTCTGGTATGCTTTTATGGACTTTTCATCCTTGTGGCTAACTAACTAGATAGATCCCATTTTGCATCTGTCATGAATCGATCTTTATCCCAGATTGCTAATTTTGATTCAATCGAGTGCGCATTCGTCATTTCTTATGTTTGGTTTTTGATTCGACGGAAACAGGGAGGAATCGATCTCTGGTTCGAGCTCTAGTTAGTCGGCGTTACTTCGCTTCATCGCCAGAGGAACTCGCAAAGAAAAATTACGCCAATGATCTGTCGGAATACAACACCGCTGTCCATTCCGTCACAGCTCAGCGCAGGTTTTGTCCCCCTTTATTTGTATAGCTCATTGTTTCATAACATAACATGGAGGGATTCACTATGAATGTGATGAGATTGAGAACTTTTCTTACCATAATATTATATACTTGGTTACTTCATTGGTCCATATGTGTATATGACTTTGTTTTTCTTTTTGGTAGGCACTATTTGCTGAGGGATGTTTATGATGATATGAAGCTAGATGGTGTGCAGCCTACAGCTGATATATTCCATTCTTTTGTTGTGGGAACGATGAAGGGTGCTCGGTTAAGCGATGCTTTCTTTTTCCGTGAAGAAATGAAAGCCATGGGAATTGCTCCTGATGTATGTCCTATGATCTTGTTCTTTTTTGCTCTTACATTACATAGAATAAACTCTTCTTGTTGATTCCTGTTCCTAAGAAAAGGTAAAATATACTGAAAATTTAGCAGCTGATTGAGCGATTTCTTGTCCAATGATTTAGACCTTACAAAATGAGTCGGTTCATCCGTGGCTTGTGTTTGTTGACCATGCGTTCATTCTTGTAGGTGAACTTGTACAACTTTTTAATTTCCACATGTGGGAAATGCAAGAATGGAAAGGAGGCAATCCGAGTATGTTTATCTTCCACTTGCTTTAATATGAGACTTTTTTCTTTTTTACATCCCTTGATTTTCATTCATTAACGAACTTTTTGTTTGCGTCTTACTGTAAGGTCTACGACGAGATGAAGCGATATGATGTAAAACCAAATGGACAGACCTTTGTCTGTCTGCTCAATGCCTGCGCTGTTTCTGGCCAATTAGATCTTGTGTAGGTTCTACTGCTTCTATTGTCTTTTGAGTGCTCACTAATCGAAATGATTTCCTTTTATAAGTTTTATGCCACTTTTCTCTGTTTTAATTAAGTTCTTGGTTATCTCTTAAGTTCTATCTAAGAAGTGGTGATCTAATCTTTTTCTTACCGCCATCAAATAATGGTTAGGTACGCGATAGTTCGGGATATGACTGCTGCTGGAGTTGGTTTGAACCAGTTCTGCTATGCAGGACTCATAACTGCACACTTAAACAAGCAGCCAAGACCAGATAATCTTTCTACCAAGGTAACCTGTGAGGTTTCCTGTTTATTTTTCCTTTTATTTTTTCTAAAGTAGATTTCCTCACAGCCTCCTTTTTTCTCAAAAGATTCTCGAGTTTGTGGAGCAGTCAAAAGGCTGGTCAGCAATTGATTCATCAAGGAAGAGTGCAGAAGATGTGATGTTTAGCATCAGTGAAGAAGAGCTGTACAATATTCCAACCGCTGATTATGCCCACAGGACCAGGTTTTTGCAGAGGAATTTGACCGTCTACCATGTAGCATTCAGTGCTCTCGCTGATATAAAGGATGTAAAAGTAAGATGATCTGTCTATCTATATTCCAATATGTCCTGAATTTATTGGGAATTTTCTGTTCTGGGAGTAATGAAAGCCCAGTTTCGGAGTTGATTTTTGCATCTGACCAGCTTTTTCCCGTGGCAGGCAACGGAAGCTCTTCTTGAGATGCTTAAGAAAGACGGAAAAGACACTGACACTTACTGCGTGCTACAAATTATGAGGTACAATAGAGCATGCACTGTGATGTTAATTTGCATCTAGATGTTAAAACATTTGGCATTGACGCATTGTCATGGGTTAAAAGACACTCTTTAGCTACCAAATTAAATTTTGTTACTAGTATAATACATTATTAGCTGTCAATGAGAATCAAAACATGATTATCGTATATGCATCTTATTTTATATCTACGTAGGTGCTATCTACACTCGCAAGACTTTGAGAATGGTCTCAAAGTGTTTGAAGATTACATGAGCGCAGATAAAATCCCTGCCATGGAACTCTACACGGTAACACGATTATCTGACCTCATCACTGGTGTTTCTATATTCACTTTGAGAGTGAACTTCTTGTTCTCTATATACCGTGTGGGAATTAAATCTTCTATAAAACTGTTGTTCTCAATCCTAAAACCTCGCAAATGAATATAGAGATGAATCTAAATTCTCAATAAATGCAATAGTTGAAGAGAATTATGCTTCTGTCCTGTTTCCCATAAGTGGTTCAACATATCTTTGGGTGACCTGTGCTGTATCTTTGGTTCCCTTCTACAGACGCTTATAGAAGGAGCTATGACAGGACACACCGATAATGGAATGAAGATTGCTCAAGACACTCTGGTAATGCTTATTGGCTCGAGCTATGCTGAAAAAAGAATCTATGAAGTAAACAAAACACGGGCCAATGGTAGAGCCTGATGACAATTTGTTTGTAAATGCAGGTCAAAATGAACGAACGCAATTTCTTCTTAGACCCAAGAACTGGAAGCAATCTGTTATTAAAAGCCGCTGGTGAAAAGGTTAAAAATCTTGAAGTTCCCGTAAAAACTCTGAAAATACTTCATGTTATAAAGAGTTGGCTTTTAAAAAACTATTTTTCTTTTATGGCAGACGGGAGGGTACACAGTTGCAAATATGATATGGGATCTGATGCTAGCTCGGAATATTCTACCAACACTAGCTGCTGTTGAAGCTTATTACAAGGGCTTGAAAGTAAAAATAAAAATCCTTTTCCTCTAGTCTTAAAATGTGAGCACAAACTTTCTTTCTCTTGGTATTAGTTGTTGATAGTTTTTGTGGTGTGGGAATCATAGGAACGTGAAATACCAGAGGATGATCCAAGACTGATGTTAGTGACGCGCACATACAATAACTTGCGGCTTAAGGAAGGGACATTACCTAATAGGCGTTAATGGGACCAAGAGGAAGAAAGAAGATATCATGGCTTCTTCGTTTTCTACTTCTATTTGCTTATTGGGATCTCTGTAAACCATCTGGGTATATTTTAAAACCAGTTCGTTTAGATGAATAAGGAGATTTCAATTAGATGAGGACTGGATGTTATCCTGATTTGATTTCAATTGCTTAACGTTGAGAGCTTTCACTCTTCGTCATGCAAAAGCAACAATGTTTTTAATAAGCCAACGCCTGTTTGGTTTATAAAGATCAGGCTGTTCACTCTCAAATGCACCGGTTTGGGTTTTTTTTGATAAAGACAAACTGGAAAATAGAGAAGAAAAAAAAAAAGAGAAACTATACATTCTGGTGTATCCATTTGCAGAGGTAAATAAAAGCAATAGTAGTTTCTGAATCACCAGATTACAGCAGATATGTGAGACTGTGACCCTCTCTCGAGGATTTTTTAACCACAACAGCCTCCTCCCTGAGAGATCGTACCATCTCTTCCTCCAGCTGCACCTTGAGTGCGCCCGTAACCAACCTTGATGCCTGACGACTGCATAATCACATTGTAACACAATCAAGGTATTAGAACACCAGAAGATGAAGCCTACTTCCAGATTTAACAAGGAAATTACCTCGTTTGATACATCAAAGACACCATCCTGAATGTTCTGGAGGATCTTGGCAGCAGTCTTTATGAATGCCTGTTGGAATATATACGCGAAATGTTAATCCAGTAAAAGAAGACAAAACTCTCCATGTGATTACAGCCAAATAACAGGATGGGGAAGAAGAGTTGCAAGGAAGAAGTGTCACCTCCTCAACGTTTTGAGCTGTTCTTGCAGATGCTTCTAAGAATAGCAGGCCATGTTCTTTGGCAAACTGTTCTCCTTCCTCTTTGCTAACAGCTCTCTTGTGAGCAAGATCACATTTGTTCCCAATCAGCATAATACTCATGTTAGGATTTGCATGTTGCCGAGCATCCTCCAACCAGCTCGCCAGATGGTTAAACGTCTCTCTCCTGCAACCAAAAGAAGCATGACTTTTGAGTTTTGAGGGCAGAAAGATCAAAGCATGAAAAAACTTAATGATAAAACTCTTGCAATCCTTCTTAGTAAGAATTTAAGATGGATGGTTAACTTAACATCCTCCTTAACGAGCATTGCCAATATCATAGTCAAGAACTTTGTTCAGATCAAAAGTAACTTCCCAAAACATGTATCTATACGAAAAGTCCTCGGGAAATACCAATTTCCAAAACCTTGCCAACGGTTCTAGGTTTATCAGTTCACGAATATAGAACCAATGACTTCCAAAACATTGGTGGGGAATTCAGTATATATATATATGGTTGCAAGGCAAAAACTAACCTGGTGATGTCATAAACCAGTAAAGCTCCAGCTGCTCCTCTGTAGTATGATCTGGTGATGGATCTAAAAGACTCTTGTCCAGCCTATAACATCATACACTTGGTTAAATCATAGACAGCATCATAACAAAATTGAATCACAAGGCACAAAAACCAAACGTAAAACAACTCCAACCCATACATCATCATCCTGAGGATTTTCAATTGTTTCTATAAATACGCAGAAATTGAATTGATTATGACAAATAATCTTCTTAATCACATGTGCCTTAGGGTAAACCAATCCTAATCGATAAAACCAAGAGAACCTAATAAAGACCAAGAGAAGCGTACGGTGTCCCAAATTTGGAGTTTGATGGGGCGTCCATCGACGGTAACCATCCGAGCACCGAACTCGACACCAATGGTGAGATCGTGGACTGGTTGGAACCTCTTGTCAGTAAATTGCAGAAGCAGGCACGATTTTCCCACACCTGAAACGACAAAAAACAACGAAAATCGTCGATCTAACCCAGTAAATCAAAAATTGGGAATGAAAAAGATAATGATCGGTCGCTCACCTGTGTCTCCGATGATTATGTACTTGAAGAGATAATCGTACGACATGGTGGCTGATGAATTTGAGCAAGGTGGATGATGAATTTAAGCAAGGTCGATGGGTTCGATAATTGCGAGAGATAGAGAGATAGAAGAAGCTTTTTGATTGAAAGAATGAGAGGAAGAAGAGATTGAAGAGTACAAGTCACCGACGCGCTTTTTGATTTTATTGGTTTTTCGAGGTTTCTCGATGAAGAAGCTATCTATCTCCTCGTGGGTTCTCATCTTTTTATGACCTTTTACTTAATTTATTAAAAAATAAAGGGACCTGGTGAACAAATATCTGGGATGTTGAAAAACGGTCTATTTTCCCACGAGAACTATCGCATCACAATAGATAGAACTCAAAGTATGACCCTGATCTATATATCTCCGAAGCAAAAGTTATATATCTATTTCTCCCCGAAACAAAAGTTCTGTATCTAAATCTCTCTGAATTAATAGTTTTAGATCTATTAATCCACATTCCTGGGTTTCACCGGTTTACTATTTACTTAACCGATTATTAAAAAACAAAACCAATTAAACAAGAAAAAACCAGATTTCTCTAATACATTATCTCTTTCATCTCTCTCAGACTCTCACGCCTTTTTTCTCTCTCTCTTTTGCTTCATCTTTCATTTAAAATTGTGAGAATCATAAAACCCATTACGTATTCTCTCAGATTTCTCAAGGATTTTTGTTGAATTCTTAATTCTAATGCTTCTTCTTCTCAAAATTTTTTCCTTACTTTTTCAAAAAATTATGATCTCCATGCCTTACGTGATTTATAGCCAATCACGAACAAAAACCCGATAGTTGAATCAATTTTTCTTCTACTAATTGCTGCAATTTGACCGGAATCACCTGCAATTTAACCTCTATCAATCCTGACGACACCGGAAGAATTACTAAATTGGAGCTCGTGAACAAAAAGTTGCCTTAAGCTCTCAAGAAGCTAAGATTAGGGTTCTTAATCGGTCTCGGAACTTCATCAAAGACTCTATCTCTGTTTCGATTTTCAACTTGGTGAAACTACAAACTCTTGATTTGAGTTCTAATGATATCTCCGGCAAAATCCCAAGAAGTATATCTCTACTAGCTTTGCAAAGTCTTGATCTTTCCTCCAATGGCTTCTAATTTCCTCCAATAAAACCAGAGTTCTCAACTTTTTTTTGGTTTCTCTAACATAAAGAATCATGAGAACTTGCCCAGAAAATTAATCAATGTGAATGCATATAATTTTCGAATTTATGTTAAAATTGATGTCTTTGTGTGTTTACCGGTAATTGAAATCGGAGAATCATCGATTTCGAGTTTATCGAGTTTTACAGAGGAGAAGCTATACCATAAACCTTCGTAGACGAACTGTTCAATGGAGCAAATTGAAGTGCGATTGGTGGGGTTTCCTTCTCAGCCATGCCCGATCTTAATCACGGCGTCACACCGTCGGTGTGCAATTCTTTGGAGAAGAGAGATATTAAGAAAATCTGGTTTTCTCTGGTTTAATTGGGTTTTGTTTTTTAATAATCGGTTAAGTACATAATAAACCGGCGAAACCCAGAAATGTGGATTAATAGATCTAAAACTATTAATTCGGAGAGATTTAGTTACAGAACTTTTGTTTCGGAGAGAAATAGATATATAACTTTTATTTCAGAGATATATAGATCGGGGTCATACTTTGGGCTTTATCTATCGTGATGCGATAGTTCTTGTGGGGAAATAGACCGTTTTGGAGAGAAATATATACAAAACTTTTAACCAATCATTGCATTCGATGTAAAAACGTTTTTTCGGAATAAATTTTACATTTTATTCAAAAAAAAAAAAAAAAATTTTTATCTCCGCCGGTGGCCCCGTCCACTCTCCTTTCGGCTCCGCTGCATGTAAGCTTCATTGGTATTTGATGATTTAGTGGGCTTGTCTTCGATGTTGAATTGGCTTGGTTTTGGCTAGTGGATTTGTGAAACCTTGTTCCGGAATCTTTGTTTCATTTGACGACACATGTTGTTTTGTGTTTATTCCAGCTAATAGCTATGAAGATGATGTGATGCCTATCGCAACTGGGCATGGGAAAGATTTTCACTAGAAGCCGATTCCTGATTTGTAAACGAGTTGGTTTTGGCTGGAGATAGTGAAATGTAACTTAGAGAGACTGATTGTTGAGTTCTTAGTCAGATGATTGGAGATTATTAACATGTAGGAGTTTTGATGTATATTAAGTAGGTTTTCTCACAGCCTCCTTTTTTCTCAAAAGATTCTCGAGTTTGTGGAGCAGTCAAAAGGCTGGTCAGCAATTGATTCATCAAGGAAGAGTGCAGAAGATGTGATGTTTAGCATCAGTGAAGAAGAGCTGTACAATATTCCAACCGCTGATTATGCCCACAGGACCAGGTTTCTGCAGAGGAATTTGACCGTCTACCCCGTAGCATTCAGTGCTCTCGCTAATATAAAGGATGTAAAAGTAAGATGATCTGTCTATCTAAATTTCAATATGTCCTGAATTTGGAAGTCTTTAGCTACCAAATTAGCCTTTGTTACTAGTATAATAGGTTATTAACTCTCATTGAGAATCAAAACATGATTATCGTATATGCATCTTATTTTATATCTACGTAGGTGCTATCTACACTCGGAAGACTTTGAGAATGGTCTCAAATTGTTTGAAGATTACATGAGCGCAGATAAAATCCCTGCCATGGAATTCTACACGGTAACACGACTATCTGACCTCATCACTGGTGTTTCTATATTCGCTTTGAGAGTGAACTTCTTGTTCTCTATGACTCTATATACCGTGTGGGAATGAAGTCTTCTATAAAACTAATGTTGTTGATTCTCAATCCTAAATCCCCGCAAATGAATATAGAGATGAATCTAAATTCTCAATAAATGCAATAGTCGAAGAGAATTATGCTTCTGCCATGTTTCCCATAAGTGGTTCAACATATCTTTGGGTGACCTGTATATGCTGTATCTTTGGTTCACTTCTACAGACGCCTATAGAAGGACCTATGACAGGACACACCGATAATGGAATGAAGATTGCTCAAGACACTTTGGTAATGTTTATTGGCTCGAGCTGTACTGAAAAAAGAATCGATGAAGTAAACAAAACACGGGCCAATGTTAGAGCCTGATGACAATTTGTTTGTAAATGCAGGTCAAAATGAATGAACGCAATTTCTTCTTAGACCCAAGAACTGGAAGCAATCTGTTACTCAAAGCCGCTGGTGAAAAGGTAAAAAATCTTCAAGTTCCCCTAAAAATTCTGAAAATATCTTGTTGTTATAAAGAGTTGGCTTAGTGCAAGTTAAAAAAAAAAAAAAAAAAAAACTCTGTTCTTTTATGGCAGACGGGAGGGTACATAGTTGCAAATATGATATGGGATCTGATGCTAGTTCGGAATATTCTACCAACACTAGCTGCTGTTGAAGCTTATTACAAGGGCTTGAAAGTAAAAATCCTTTGTCTCTAGTCTTAAAATGTGAGCACAAACTTTCTTTCCCTTGGTATTAGTTATTGATGGTTTTTGTGGTGTGGGAATCATAGGAACGTGAAATACCAGAGGATGATCCGATTGAATTTAAGGAATAAAATACCAATATGATATTCTATGGCATCTACAATAACAGAGCCTAATATTTTGTGAGAAACAAATAAGAAGATCAACTATCAGAAATATATTTCTAGGGTTCAAAACAAGAAATAGAGTGAGACACTAGTCTTTTATAGGTGGAGATAGAGGTGGGAAAAAGTAAGGTACGGGGCAAGTGAAAGGTCTACCGAGCTTGTAATTATTGTCGATACTGACGATGCCACGATCGTGTTCTCCCAAGAAATAGACACTGTTTTTGCTTCTGCCGTACAAGCTAGCCGGGAGGCAGAAAGGTTCAGCCTTGGACAGGAAAATGCAGAGATCTCCAATGTCTTTAGTATACTCAGCGTTTCCTTCTTCGTCTAGCCTCACGACAAGGAAATGGTCCCAATCCTTACAAGTCTTCCTAATGGGCCTGCTTTCCGTGTATCACTTCAACATAAAAGTCTCACCTGTGGGTAATGACTCCACCAAGTACTGTTGCTTCCTGCAACACGAATCCAATCGCAGCAACTCGCTCTTTGTCATTTCTGGATGTGGATTCTGGGGAAACTGCAGCATCTGCAGCTTGGGTTTGTGAATGTGTCTCCCAAGATCCCATGATCCTGTGTAGTGGGCTCTAGAGGCGGGCATCGAGAACATGTCATCTCTCTTGGAGTACATTACATGGGAGGAGAAGAAGCTGGGGTCTGTGATTCTGATGTTGGTCCACTTGCAATCTCTTTGAGCAGGCCTGCACAAACTGAGTTGAGGTCCCATGAACTTGATAGCTACAATGCAGTCTTCATCCTCAGGAGAAGAGGTGGACATGGCCACATTGGTTACGATTTGGGTTTGGCAGTGAGGCAGAGTTACTAGAGGAGGCAGCGAAATTCGTTTTGGGTCTGTCTCCCATGCACATGGGTCTAGAAGATCATCTTGAAGACGCACAACGCCATTCTTCAAAGTTGCTACCCAGCCATGGGATGCTCCTATGGTTCCTTTTTCCTTGAGTAACTCCATAGGCACCAATTTTTTCGTAACCCTCTCGGTACCACCAAGAGAACGAATCTTGAGAATTCCGATATCACCTTCAATCAAAGTAGATCCCCATGGTTCTGCACCCACGATGTAATAGATGGAAGAAGATGAGAAGCACCTAGCCGTGAGGTGTCTCTGCGGAATCATTAGTTAGTTACTGATCAGACATCAAAACAGAGAAAAGAAAACACTATCCGAGACAAGACAAGAGGAGGCATCAGCGTACCCGGAGAGATAGCTTCGAGAGAGAGAGCCGGCTGAGAAACAGAGACATGGCTGCGTTTTTTTTTGGCTAAGAGCCCATGAATATCGTCTCCTCTATTAAATACAGAACAGAGGATTACCCTTGCCCTCCAAGGTCTTGCCCATTGATTGACTTTCCTAATAAAAATTAAAATGAATATATTATGAATTTGAATGCAATTTCTGTTTTTCATGTTTTTAGTTACTTAAATCCGCTAACGCTGATGTTCTTTTTTATGGTTCCAAATTAATTTTCTTATTATCGCTGACGCAATTATCTAAACTAGGTGATTGCCCGCGCGCATGCGCGGGAAGAATGCTGTATAAATGGTAAAATCATGTGAAATAAGGGATTGTTTAGGTATTACTTGGTAGTGTAAGAAAAATATGGTAAATTGTTTAGGATTTAGTGTGATAAAATTATGGAAAATGATGAAATTTAAAAAATTCAATAATATTATAAATGCTAAAAAATAATAATAAATCATCTTTTAAAATCATTCACCAACAAAATAAGAAATCAACGAACATCATCACTCCATGACATTCTCCTTCCGTGTGATGATCGGTACTTGGTCATTTTCAGGATTCCTGACATCCGATTAAGAACACCATAAACAGTGAATGTCCAGTCGCCAACTTTAGAGTTTTGATTGTAAACGGGAAAAAAAAATACTTACCAACAAAGCATCTCGTCGGTAATACTGAGATCCGGATTCAACATAATCCTCGTACTTCCGGTAACATTGGTACATCTCCACCTATGTTCTTGTGATAGCTCTAATTTCACAAACTTGATAATACATATCACTGTGTTACGTGAACGTTGCTTCCATAAGTCATAGAACTCGACTGCAAGGTCACCCGTTAAACGACACTCTAGATGGATACACCTAATTTTAAGATTTGAAGAAGTCATAAGACATTATATTCTGGTTTAAATCTTTAAAAGAATAGTGACTTACTCAGTATCACGTAAACCAAAGTACAGCTCAAAATATCCTCCTTGAGAATGTTCCACGGAAGGAACAAAAACCAACTCTCTCACGTTGACAATTTTGCCAACAACATCTATGAAACACACACATGAATAATACAGTCAGAACATGAACCGCAAATAAACTCCAAAAGCAAAAATAAATTTATAAATTAGGCTTACCAACGCAAATATTCGGATTAACAATACCACTCAATATACTCACAAACTCAGTTAGATTGAAATAGGTTCTACTGGAGCACATATTAATACTTTGCACTAAAGTGTCCGAACGAAACACAATCTTGAATCTATGCGGTACTGGTCTCAATATGCTGTTAACCCGTGATACATCAAAATTTTTAATGCTCACCCACTCATCGATTATCAATCTTGAAAGATAATTATCAATTAATTCATCACGAACAACGGCTTGGATCTGTGTGAACTGCAAATAAAACGTTAAAGACAAAACCAATTCAATTTAATATCGAAAACATGTATAGCAGGTAAGTTATCAAAAAACTAACATGCTCGTCACCCAAAATCATATTGAGCTCTCTACCCGTGCCACGCGAAACAGACCAACAATTCAAAATCTTCACCGAGACAGACCACTCACCCATGTTAGGGTTAAGAGACGCAATACGAAAATAACCACCATCACATGAATCAGATGTAAAAGGAATCATTGTAGAACCCATAACAAAAGATTACGCGGCTAAATATTCCAATGAGGTATAAATACGGGATACATATATGTAGACCTAACGATTATTTGGAAAGAACATAAAAATGGAAAATATATATTAAAAACTAAATCAGAAAATTAACAAAAACGAATATTGATTAAACGATATAGAATTTATCCATAAGATTAATAAATTAAGTTTTAAAAAAAGAAACTAAATCTCAACAGTTAAACTGAAATATATACTAACGTAACTTAAGGGTAAAAAATATCACTCTATTATCAACACCATAATAATAATATATACAAATGGTGTAAGTTATTAGGGACGCAAATAAAGTTCCATTTTACCTAACGACGGAAACCAAAACCACACGATGCATTTTGAGAAACAACTTTTTTGAATGAGTAATACAAAAAAACTATAACCAATGACAAGCTATGTATCATGTATGTCACCTCAACAGAGTTTTTAACTAATATCATATAACATCTTTCAGACTAAATTACAAAAACTCACTAAAGCGAAATATATATAGAACTATAACGCATATCCAGAAACTATATTATATAAATAAAATTGTAACTATTAAAAATGTCAATTTAGTATTTATCACAATCGATGCATATCATAACAGTATCCCTAATTTTAGAGATTTTGTTTATTATTACACGCGATTTTCCATAATAATCGCGATAAAATAATATTTTTTTCTTTCTTTTCGGTCGTGTTGATGTAGTAGCTGTTTTTTTTTTTTTTTTTTGTTCTTTTTGTTTGGTTTGCTTATATATAATAGCGTGAATAATTGATGTTGCAAAGACGACTTTCAAGCCGATATAAATC